ACTCAGCAATAGAAACCAGCTCCTTTTATTAATAAAGTATATATTTATGCCACCCAGAAGAACTGAAAAGCCAGTAATGGAGGAAATTGATCCTCAAGAGGCACAAAGTTTACCTCAAGAAGTGGAGGGAAATGGAGACCCTCTAGCTCAAGTGGAACAGGAGGAGACTGCCTCAGAAAGACAAAGGAATCTAGGCTCCCTAGATTTTGAAAAATGGAAATTACAACAAGAATGTAAATTAAAGGAATTAGAAATTAGAGAAAAAGCCAGAGCTGAAGAGAAAGCTAAGGAGCTAGCTATGAAAACACAATTAGAGGAGCTAGCTATGCAAACCCAATTAGAATTGAGAAAAGCCAGAGCTGAAGAGAAAGCTCAGGAACTACAGCTCAAAGCTGAGCAAGAGGCCAGACAAATGACATTTGAGCAAGAAAATAGACAAAGGGAAATGGAATTTCAAATACAAATGAAAAAATTAGAATTAGCTTCTCAAAATAACAACATTAATAACAGTGCTAGTGAGGGAAATCTCTCAAAGATCAATCTAAAGAAATTTCCCCAATATAAGAAAGGAGATTGCCCAGAATCTTTCCTCATTTCATTTGAGAGAGCGTGCTGGGACTTTGAGATTAAGGATGATGAAAGGATGATCATGGTAAAATCACAAATAAGTGGAGATTTAGCTGATTTGTATTCTCAGATGCCTCTAGAGCAAGCTACAGATTTTGAGGCCTATAGAAAAATGGTATATTCAAGATTTGGCATAAATGCAGAACATCTGAGGAGAAAATTTCGTTCCCTTACCAAAAGGGCTGAAGAATCTTATCCTCAAGTGGGGGCTACATTGATTCAGTGTTTGGACAAATGGATGGAATGTGGGAAAGTCACCTCTCTAGATCAAATAAAAAATGTGATTGGGTTAGAACAACTTTATTCTATTTTGCCTGGGGAATTGCGTTATTTGGTCAAGGACAAAAATCCTAAAAATGTACTAGAAGCATCTGAAAATGTAGATTTCACCAGTGAGATAAGAGACCCCAGGTTTTCTGAGGTAAAAATTGGTAGAAAAGTGTGGGACGACAGGAGGAGAGGGGCCCCACCCAGTAAAGATTACCTCAAAAGTGCCCAAGCTACTGGAAGCCATTTTGGAGACAGACCCTCATCTCCAGAGCGCAGACATCTGAAACCTAATAGTCCTGAGGGGAAAGCCCTTTGTTTTGAAGCCAAGGCCAGTAGACAGTGTTATATGTGTGGACAGAAAGGTCATTTTTTGGCTCAGTGTGAGACTCAAAAGGTTAGGGATTGTAATCAGCATAAAGGTGGAGATTCTAGTCCCCCTAAGAAGGTTTTGTGTACAACATCATGGAACAGCTAGGAATGCAGCAGTTGAAGCTGTTGCTGTAGCAATGCAAGTAACAGAAGGGTCAGAGAGCCAAGGTCTTCCTGTGGCCAGGGTTGTTCAGTGCTTTCTGATAGAAAGAAATCAAAATCTTCTTCTACGCAGTTCAGGAGATGTTATCTATGTTGATAATAACAAGTATCTAGCACTCAGAGATTTTTGTTCACAAGTTACAGTATGTCAACCGTATATACTGTAGTCCATAAGGAAAATATGCTAGACCATGAAGAGATTTCTATTAAAGGGATTGGTTCTGAAATAGTAGTGCTGCTCATGGCAAAAATACCGATGATATATAAGGGATGGTCAGGAATTTGGAAGGTGGCCATATCTGATCAGATTCCTGCCCCATGTTTAATAGGCCTGAATCTAGCTGAGCATGTACACTGTGTTTTTGTGACAACTTGCTCTCACGGAAGGCAAATTGAAGCCACTGAGGAAAATGATGGAAGCCTTCTTGAAATAAGAAAAGAGAGAGAAACAGCTGATCTGGTTACTATGAAAAACCCTAATAACCCATCTTTCATGTAAGAAGAACAAAAGGAAGATCCTACCTTAGCACAAACTAAGGAAATTCCACTGACCCCCTGAAAATCCTGAATGATGTCCCAGTTCACAGGAGAACCCTGAGATAACAGAAATGGCTGATGTGGTCATATTGGAGAATCCTAATAATACTTCCTGTATTGATGAGCAGAAGGAAGATAGTACTTTAAATGATTGTATTACAAAAGCTATTGAGAGTTCCATTGCACTGACACCTGAATACCCAGAGAGGTTTATAGGTGATAAAAACCTGATACAGTGGTACCTCGCTAGATGACAACCTTGCAAAATGACGAATCCACATGATGATGAGTGATTCCAATGGGCGATTTTCGCTGGACGATGTTTGGGTTCCTGCTTCGCAAACCGATTTTTGCAAGACAATTTTGCCACTGATTGGCGCTTCGCAAAATGGGTGTTTTCGGGACTGATGCTACGCAGGGCAGCCATTTTAACAGCTGATTGGCGCTTCGCAAAATGGCTTCCCTATGGGCGATCTTCGCAAAATGACAATGATTTTTCCCCATTGGAACGCATTAAACGAGTTTCAATGCATTCCAATGGGGAAACGGTTTTCGCAAGACGCTGTTTTCGCTAAACAGCTATTTCTATTGAACGGATTATTGTCGTGCGGGGCACCACTCTATATGGAGAGGTCTTATCAACACCTCATAGGAGTGGAGATGGACATCACAAACAGTTAATTGTCCCTGTAAAATATGAGGGAAAGTCCTTAGAAGTAGCAGAGCCAAGCCTCAGGGGGTACTCCTGGAAAGGAGAAAGGCTTGTATGAGGCCCAGGACAAAGTGGTGAGACTAAGACCCATAGAGGGGAGTGAATTGCAGTTAGCAAGGTAAGAACCTGTGGATTTGTTGTAGCAGAACTGGAGGGCTAAGGAGTCTAGTTGCTCTGCAGCTGCAATAGCACTTAAAACCCTGCAATGCAAAGCCCTACCTAAGAAACCAAATATTAAAGATATAGAACAAGATGATGAAAATCACAATGCATCTAAAATAAACCAAGTGTTTGAGATTGCACTTAAAAGAAACGTGCCTGTGAATTTGGAGGTGACCCATGACAGTGGTCCTCCACATATGGAGAACTTCGTGCCAGATGTACCTCTGGGTGAATTTATTGGTGAGGAGGAAGGCGTAAGCAAAAAGATCTCAAAGAAGGACACATCCATAGATGTTCTGGAGGAGGAGAAGGAACTGCCTACCCTTTCTCCAGCTGAAAAAGTGAAGCCACGAGCCAGAAAGAAAGCAGGCTTCAACCAGAAATGGCAAGTGAAGGACATCCAGTGGACTTCAGAGTGCCCAATGACTGCCAGTGGATAGAAGAGAGTTCAGACTTCAAGATCTGCCTCTGTTGTTCCGGACTACAACCAGGGGTTCATCGTATACATTGATGTGTCGAGTGTGAGTCTGAAAGCCGTGCTGTGCTGAGTGGACCACAGAGGGAATCGACACCCAGTGTCTCTGATCAGCAGGAGATTCCAACCTGGTGAGAGACATTTGTCTGCCAACATGAGGGCATGCCTATCAATTGTTTGGACACTGCAAAGACTGAAACCTACATTAGGGGAAGGAAGTTCATTCTTTGCACTGACACTTTCCCTCTGGTGTGGTTACAAACTATGAAATCCACTAACAGTAAGCTTGCAAGATGGACACAGAATCCAAATTTGTGGATTACAAATTTGACTTTGTAATCCACAGCATAAAAGGGAGTCAGAATATGGATGCTGATACCTTGCCTCAAAGGCCAGGTGGATAAATAAAGTTTGTAATGTGGTATTAAATGTTTTGTTTGTGTAAAGTTATGAAAAATTATTAAAATGCTAAGTTTGGATGGGGATGAACTGAGAGGTGGAGAATGATGAGAAATATTAATGTAAAGGTAATGTGATTTACCTGTAGAGGGACGTGGTGGCGCTGTGGGCTAAACCGCAGAAGCCTGTGCTGCAGGGTCAGAAGACCAAGCAGTCCTAAGATCGAATCCACGTGACGGATTTAAAGTAATAAGTTTGATCTAGTAAACATGGTAATAGAGACAAAACTAGGATAAGGTATGTATAAATGTATGGTAGATATGATGTGTTATATGTTGAAATATGGTATATGATCTAAGACCTATAAGCATATTATTACGATGGTGTTTTGTATGAAATGTTCCCTATATGTTCCGTTGTTCATGAGGGTAAACTGTAAGGTTTCCCCCATGAAACAAACTTTTCTTAGGAGGGAGGAATGTGATGATTGCCCCACATCACTCTTGCCATTCATAGTCATGAGCTGATTTGCATGAGCCTATGAGAGGACTGGAGAGGTGGAGTTAGCAGCTATATGAAGGTTTGGTGGGAGAAGGAGGAGTCAGATAGAGATTGGGAGGAGATTCAGATAGAGATTGGGATGAGGTCCAGATAGAGATAAAGGCTAGTTACTCAGAGAGAGGGAACAGATACTGAATGATAAGGCTGGTTAAGAAAATAGGTAGAGAAGGTGGCAATGATATTGCAAGAGAAAAGTATGTACTGAGAGAACTGTTAATGATTTCCTTGTGTATAATGTTTATCTGAAGAACTTCTGTTATTATTAAATCGGCTTCACTTCAATAAATAAGTTCTGTTTGTATTCACAAGACAAGTGTTCTGACAAACGTCATTTATATTGTGGATTGAGGTAATCCACTGGTGGCAGCAAGAGGAAAACATGATGTGAGCCTTTGTGAGGGCAAAACACACAGGTGACACACAGGTGAACACCACAGTTGGTTTTATCAGAAGACCACTTAAAATATATGAAAACTAGTAAAGTACAGAAAGTGTGATCAGTTAATTTTGAACATTTCAAACTTTTTTTTAAAAAGGATCCTCACAGAGACTCGAGACATAGTATTGACTCATGACTACTCACATTATATCAGTATTAGAGAAGTGCTTTTTTAAAAAAACATGGATTATAACTAAACTATGCAATCTGCGCATACTGCTCCAGAAAGAAACCTGCTCTAACACAATGTAATCACTGTTTCCTCCACCTTTGCTTGCTTATTTAAGGAAATTGGCTTTGAAATATCATCCTGACAAGAACCCTGATAACGCAGAGGCAGGAGAAAAGTTTAAAGAAATAAACAATGCTCATGCAATACTAACGGATGTCTCCAAAAGAAACATATATGACCAGTACGGATCATTAGGATTGTACATTGCAGAACAGTTTGGTGAAGAAAATGTCAATGCTTACTTCATGCTTTCTAGTTGGTGGGCAAAGGTAAGTACTTAAATGCAAAGGTAATGCATCCTTTTTTCAGTATTTGACTATGAAGAACGGAGCCATGAATCTGTAATATTCTTCAGTCTTGCTACTGCAGCTTTCACAGAACCTGAATCAAAACCTGACATAATTCTAGATACCGGCATGTCAATCTAAAACCAGTTTCAGTATCAGGAAGAGTTTTGTTGAAATGGTTGACGCATGTTAACTGATTCAACAATTATGGCAAAATTATAATGATGCACTGCTTTGGGAAAATATTTATTAAAGGATGCATCTTTGTCCCTTTCATTTAATAATTAAATATGTTACATGTCTCCTTTTATCGCCTCAAGACATTAATTATGTCTGAAGCTGGAGCTCCAGGTTAATTCTGACTTTCTTTTCAGTAATGACTAAATGAAAATGACTCATTGCTCAAAGTGAAAACTCTTCTTAGTGTGATAACCAGCTAATCCGTTACTGCAGTACAAACTTAGCCCTATTCTGGTTATATATGGCATTGGGTATGCGTAAGCAATAGTAATACATAACACCATGTACCTTTATGGCACACCTTGGGTGTCTTGTGAAGGGGCTGGGAAAGGAAAGTGGAAAAAGTGAGAGGGATGAAGTTGGAGGAAGAAAGGAAAGATACAAGCTGAACTGCAAAGATTGGATCTGAAGATTCTGATAACATCAGAACTCTTACTCATTTGGACCATTATGTAATCACACAACTTTGGCATTTGTGGGTGAACATGTTACAAACATTAGCACCTCAATCAGAATGGCCAAATGCTTCAGGCCTCGGGCAACAAAAATGTGTCACAGCTCACACCTAATGTGCTATTCTCACTGTTATTTCTAGTCTTCGGTTCAGAAAAAAAGAACGTTAATTAAAATAGAATAACGACATATTTAACAAATGCAGCCTTTCCAGCTGTAATGATGCAGCTATAATGATATAAAGGAAGTTATAAGGAGTAGCACTATTCTTCAGAGACTGGCAAAACGTTAGGAAGAACAACCTTCAGAACACAGCCAAAGAGCCCGAAAAACCCACAGCAACCAGAAGTTATATTTGTTGAATTTGTATTGCAGTTCAAATGTTAAAAGCACAATGCCTTTTTAAAAGCATCGGTTCTAAATCTACTGCAAAATAAATTGCTGGATATCTCAGTGTTAAAGGAATCTGGCTGAAGAGCCAGAAGTTAGGAGTTTAATTTCCCACTGTGCCTCCCTGGCAGGGGCTGGGCTTAATGATCCTCCATAGGTCCCTTGTAGTTCTGTAGTTCTAAGATTACAGTGGCACCTCAACTTGCGTTCGTCCCTACTTGCGAACGATTCGAGTTACGAATGGCCCCATTCGCAAAAAGTCACTTCGACCTGCGAACGGAGCCTCGACTTACGAACTGAAAAAAAAAGAAAAAAAATACTTTCCTGCCCTTTTTTTTTTTTACCTAAGTTCACCTTAGGTCAAAAAAAGAAGAAATTTAAAAAATTCCCCCCCTAGTGGCAGAGTACAGATTAACCGGCTTTGCATTAGTTCCTATGGGAACTAATTCCTCTATCTACGAACAGCGCCTCAACCTACGAACGGAAAACAGCAGATAATGATTAACTGGTTTTCAATGCATTCCAATGGGAAAGTTTGACTCAACTTATGAACTTTTCGATCTGCGAACTTAATTCCAATATGGATTAAGTTTGCAAGTCAAGGTACCACCGTACATATTATCATCACAGATAGTTTTCCTTCTGATGTCAGCTAGAATTAACTTCCTTCCATCTTTGCTATGGTGGTTTTCTTCACAGTTCCAGACAATACCAGAAGAACATTAGAGAAGCCCTGTTGGCCCGTGTCAAAGTCCCTCAAGGTCAAGGCTTAAGAAACATTAAATTTTGCAATGGCAATTCCCAGACAATCCTGATCCTGGCTAAGGAATTTTGGAAATTTTTATCCCAATTTTTTTTCCCAAAGCTCTGTTTGAGTCCAGGTTTTGTTCCCCAAACAACCAACTAACTCAACTGGCCACGATCAGCTTTTAAATGTCAAGTCAGCTTTTCTTCATAGTGTAGTAGGTAGCTGTGTGCGCCAGCTTCCCTTCATAAATATCTGATCATGTCTCTCTTCCTCTCTTCCGCTTTCTCCAAGGGTCTGTTTGTGCTTTGTGGCCTTTTGACTGGCTGTTACTTTTGCTGCTGCCTGTGCTGCTGTTTTAACTGCTGTTGTGGAAAGTGCAAGCCGAAACTCACAGAAGAAGAGCAAGAGTTTTGCATGTCTACTGAAGATCTGGAAGAGCAAATTAAGACAGACATGGAGAAAGGTGTTTATTACAGTGGAGATGTAGATGTGCTATTTAACATTCCCTCCCCATCTTATTTTTAAAAAAGACCTGTTTTCTCAAAAAATATATATATATATCCTGGGTTCTACTCCAACTGTTGAGCATTCGTGATGTTAATTTGAGAAAGGATACTAACTTGAAAGAAGTGTTAATTAAATTCTTCTCTACCTGCTGTACACATTATTTTAAAAGCACAGCAGGTGGTTGCTTGTTAATGCCACTGTTAGCCTGTTTGCTCTCACCCTTTTTAATTTCTTGCTTTTTGCAGAACTTGGACAGTTAATTTTAAGATGAATGTATATAATGATAGGCTGAAGGTATCCATAGCTGACCTGTGGAAAGATGATGCTCTCCTGCAACTGCTCAGCTATATAGATGGATTCAACAACAAGCTCTGTATTTATGGTGTCATTTGTGTTGGCCCAGGGGTTGTACCTCATCTTTGTGATTTTAGTGATGTCATTGCAAGCTAACATGTTTTCCCCTTCTCTTTTCTAATGGAGTCTCTTCAGCATTAGCAGTAACTAGCAGATGAACAGATATAGGTTTCTTATTACTTCACCATGCCTGTAAAGTGATACCCAGTTCTAGTCCAAGAGGTTTTGATAACTTATATAGAAAACAAGATAGTAGCCCTTTCTTTGGCCATATAAGGAAGCTGTCTGAACCATCAGTTGCATCTTCCTTCAATACTGCAAGTGGGATACTGCCAATCATCATACCTAAGCCAGCAGGCAGGAGTAGAGGGCCCAGGACAGCTCATGGCTCATTCACAGCTCTTTCTCCCAACAGTAGGGAGGCAGATGATTAAAAGTTAAATTAATGATTAAAAGTCAGCAGGCTCCCTCTGCTGCTCCCCCCCCCAGCAGCCTGTCATGTCGCCACTTCAGCCTAATGATAGGACTGGCCCTGCCTGTGGTCTGTATTCTTCTTGTGCATATACTGTGGGCTCCCTAAACAAAAATGGCATACTGGGACTTCCTAAAACCCCTTCAACATTTTCTGTTTCTGACTCCCTAAACTACTTATCTGATGATATGTTAGGTGCCATCAAGTCACCTCCAGCTTAATGGTGGCCCTATGAATAAATGACCTCCAAAATGTCCTAACATTAACAATCCTATTCAGCTCTTACTCCCCCAATTTTCCATATAAGGAAAATACAAAAGAGATATGTATTTCTGTGAATGACAACTGTTATTTCCAGTAAGGAAGTAACTGTTACAAGAATGGAAAACAGTATGTTTCTTCCAAGTAAAGAACAGTGGTTCTTAACCTTTGTTACTCAGATGCTTTTGAATTGCAAAAGAAACCAGAAACCTCAGTCAGGACAGCTGGTGGTGAAGGCTTCTGGGAGTTGCAGTCCAAAACTCCTGAGTAACCCAAGGTTAAGAACCAGTGGACTAAAAGACTTGTTGTAAAGAAAATAAGATTATGCAACAATGATTCCCAAAGAGACTCTGCCTTTAACAACTGCACAGCTATAGAAATGAATCCAAGGCTGCAACATAAGGACATAAGAACATAAGAAGAGCCCTGCTGGATCAGGCCAAGGACCCATCTAGTCCAGTTTCCTGTATCTCACAGTGGCCCCACCAGATGCCTCTGGGAGCACATGAGAGAACTAGATACCTGTCTCCTGATACCCCTGCCCTGCATCTGGCATAGACAAGGCAATACTAAATCAGGGGGAAACTGTACCTGTTGGATTTCTGCATACTGGATAGTAATTAAAGGATTTTGGTTTCATAGAAAAAAAAAGAAATACTAAGCAGAAAAGTGGACTATCTCACCATAAGGACGTAAGAACACTGATTCTAGGATAATAGACCTAGAAGGCGGAAGATGGAACTAATATGTAGCTCTATTCAAATCAAACTATTTGCATAAATGTGATGTAAATTATATTGTTTCTTATTCCAGACAATCAGATGTGTCAACCCCCATCTACATCTGAACATGTAACAGCAAATGACTCCACTCTGAGGAGGGAGGTGTCATTTTGGCTGAAACAGCAGTTGAAAGAATATGAATTTTATCCAATACAAACTTATGATAGCTGAAACAATGTAGCTGATTGAAAATGGTGAACCCTTTACAGAGTAGTAGAAGCTTGGTCTCTTTACCATAGGATTGTTTCCTGGGTGGAAGGACTGGTCATTGCCTATTTGCATTTATGTTTAATGCATTTATGCAAAATTTAAAATAGCAAACACTGAAGTTGAGATGAAACCAATGAAGACAACTTTTATTTTATGTGAAGTTCAAGCTTATGTCTTAGACATAAAAGTTTAAATCTTTTTGTAGTCCCAGGGATAAACTTCTTTAGGATAGGTATGTAAGTCCTCTTATTCTGTGGCAGCAGTGATTTCTGGACTTCTCTAAAAATTTTGGTAGTTAAGGCAACCAGAGGAAGATAGCCATGTTGATAGAGAGGTGATGAGTTGACTCCCTGAGAGAAGGAGCTACACAAATTAATATGAATACTGCAGTATTTCACCTGCTGAAAAACAAACTCCCTGTAGATATTCACTGTGTTGAACAACGAACAACCAGTGTCCAATATTCCATTTTGCTGCAAAGGTGTTTGAATGTTTGGTAGCAACTCAACTCCAATATTTCCTAGGCAAGACTATTTCACTCTGGCTTCTGCCCTGCTTTCGACAGTGAAATGGCCCTAGTTACTCTGGTGGATAATCGATATACAGTGGTGTACCGCATAGCAAGGATAATCTGTTCCGGAAAAATCGTCGCTATGTGGATTCGTTGCTATACAGAACAAAAAAAATCCCATAGGAATGCATTAAAAGACATTTAATGCGTTCCTATGGGCTAAAAACTCACCATTATGCGAAAATCCTCCATACGGCCGCCATTTTCACTGCCCAGTAAGCGAGGAATGGGCGTGAAAACACGGTGGATGGCCATTTTTTTACCCGGTGGCCATTTTGGAACTGCTGATCAGATGTTTTAAAAACATCACTATGCAAAAATCGGTAAGCGAAACAGCTTACCGATCATCGCAAAGCAATGTTTTACCATTTAAAACATCGCAATGCGATCACTTTTGCAATTGCAAAAACTTAATCGCTATGCGGATTCATCATTAAACGGGGCGCCCGTTATGCGGGGCACCACTGTAAAGAGCTGGAGATGAGATTACACCTGCTGGCCAATGTTGATTCAGTACCTGTTGGTTCCCAGTGGCTTTAAGTATCAACTGCAATAGCATTCTTCTAGATTGTTGGACTTCAGGTCATTGTAGGGCAGCGATTCTTAGGGATTCTAGTTTGAGAATCAGTGTTTGATATCATTTCATAGGTTGGGGCTTGGGAATTCCTGTTTACATGGCTCTGGTTCTTTATAGAGAGCCAATTCCAGATAGTGTTGCTGTCATCCTGCATTACACCACATTATCCTGTATGCTATTTTTCATCTGTATTAAACCACTTGGGGGGGGATCATCCCTAGATTTTAAGTTGGCTATCAACAATTTGTGAATTAGACATCTCTAAATCTTCGAACAATCATGTTTTAGGGAAGTTGCAGAAGCTCTGAATGAAGGTTAGTGGCAACTAGATCAGCCCAGTGTGAACAAGCTGAACTTTGGTCTGGAAGAGACGGAAGTGCTTTTTGTCAGAGGGCCAACCAACCAACCTGATATACTGTAGATAGGATTGCATTCCCCTTGAAAAAATAAGCTCACAGTTTGGGAGTAACTCCTGACCCAGCTTTTCTTCTAAATTGCTAGTCACAGGTGTACCAAGAGCATTTTGCACAGCTTTCACCATCTATATCTGCCATGGAGTGGGGCAGACCAGGTTACTGTCACATGTGTGTATATGGGATTGCCTTTGAAGGCCATTCAGGAACTTCAGAGTTTTCTAGTGCCAGGTTTTAGAAGTATTGTCTTTTCTATCTGTATTGGCTACTCTGACTACCAGTCAATTTATTTCTGAATGAAATTCAAAGTACTGATGATTGTCACCATCAATGTCCTAAGCAGTGTAAGATCAAAATATCTCAAGAACTGTGTTCTCATATGAACTTTCTTGTTCACTGGGTCAGCTTGTAAGGCCCTCTTCTGCCTGTATGCCTTTTATATGGGTCAGGGCCTTTATGTGGTGGTATCCAGAATGTGGAAGTTCCTGATCCAGGAAATTCCTTTTTCTGCTCCTTCCCCACACTGCCAGTATCCCACTGCTACATGTAGGTATTTATTTTCTTGCAAAGATTTAATACTGTATATTTGCTTCTTAGAATTCCTCTTGTTTAGTCTTGTTTATTTTTAAGCAATACTGTAGTTTTTTCTCTAACTGGTTTATCTGTTTCTCTATTTGATTAATGTAGATTTACTTAGGTTTTTAAAATGTCTATCTTTGATTAATGATTTTAAAAAATCAATTTAGTATGTTAATTGCCTTGAAGAAGCTCCATATTGGGAGAAAGAAACAAAATCATATAAGTTCATAACTGAATAGATAAAATTTTGCCTATGTGATTATTTTGGTGATCATAATAGCATGTTCAGGGGGATTTTCGAGCTGGTTTGAGTAATCAAAATGAAATTTCACTTGACACAACATAATTCTAATGGGAAACAATCTCAAATTATACAGCTCTTGCTGTTGGCTTCATTTATTGAATGCAGTTAAGGCTAAGCATTTTTGTACCTGAGATAAAGGGGGAAAATAGCATCCTCTCCCAGTTCTATGTGCAGGAGTCAAATCTTATTTCAACACTGGTGATAGGAAACAGGGTAATGTAGAAGAAAGAAGGACACGTTCCCCTGTCCTCCAACGAAAAGAATAGATGCAAAGTTCAGGACACATAGATCATACTGCTGCATCCCTCAGTACAGTGATGCCCCGCAAGACGATGTTAATTAGTTCCGCGAAAATTGCTGTTTTGCGAAAACATCATCTTGTGAAATGCGGTTTCCCATTGGAATGCATTGAAATCTATTTAATACGTTCCAACTGGGAAAAACCATTGTCGTTTTGCGAAAATCGCCCATAGGAAAACCATTTTGCGAAGTGCGGATCAGCTGTCAAAATCGCTGTCTTGCAAAAAACGGTCCTGAAAACACCCGTTTTGTGAGTTGCGGACCTAGCTGTCAAAATTGTCGTCTTTCGAAAAACCGGTCTTGAAAAAAAAAGTCTTGCGAAGCACAGACTGAAACATCGTCCAGCGAAAATAGCCAATAGGAAACACCATTTTGCGAAGCACTATAGCAATCACAAAAAATCATCATCTGGCAAATAAACCGTTTTGCAAGGTAGTCGTCTAGTGGGGCACCACTGTATCTACCATCCAAGGTGGCTGATTCACCTTGTCTAATAGTAGGACCACCTTGACTACTGGGAGCAATAGTAGAAGTGGACATTTTACACATGCCTCTCCTACGAACAGAGGAATTACTGTACTGTCTCTGCAAGCATTGTAACGCATCTGAAGAACAAAACAGTAGTTCATGGTTCTACTTCTAATACTAGCTGAAAACTGTGTATTTGTTTACACAGCAGTGTAATTATCTTTAAAAAGTGTAATTGATAGTGATCTCCCCCATTTCTTAGAATACAAAACCAAAATAAAAGAATATAAGAAAAGGTGTTTAATCAGAATTCATATCTATATTGGCATACCCACTGTCTAAACTCAGTGCAATAATGTAGGCATCTTTTTGCCTCTTTTCCCAAAAACATTTAGAAAATGTTTACGTTTGATCAGATTATGCCTTCAAGTAGTCTGGATAATTAGCCATTTTAACAGGGATGGCACAATGAATCAGTTAATGGACCAAAAAGATCTTTAATCCCTGCTTTCTTCTTTATTTCAGATGGGGAGACTCCCATTTTGCTTCAGCCGACAAATGCAACTGAGAAAACTCAACTTATTGGAGACAGTCATCGGAGCTACCGTACAGATTCATAAACCAAAAGTGTTTGGAGCCTCCCTAAATGTCACCAGAATAGTTTTGGATTTCATGACATGGTTAGAATATTTTCACACATGACACTGTCCTATGTACAAGTATGGAAGCAATGATCATTGTATTCAGTTGAGAGTAGACCTTCTTCGAAGAGACTAAGTGTATGAATTCACACTGAGAGTATCCTTGAGCTCCTCAAACATACAGTAGTTTACTTGCATATATATGTGTGCTTTCCAGGCAATAGTAGTTTAACAATCATGCTAGAAACAGTAAGCATACAGAAAGCTCTTCTTGTGTAATGTGTGAAAATATCCCTAGTTTTTTACATACTTAAACTTCATCTGCAGTTTAGACAACAATGATTTGAATGCAATTTCTTCTTTAATTGTACAAATGTTACAACTGGATAGACTTGCTGATAACTTTTTCCAGCATGGTATTGCAACCGTATAGGCCTTGACATAGATCGGAAAAGTGACATTTGGGTTCTACAACCTCCAGAATACCTCAAGCTACATGACTCATTGCTATGCTAGCTGGAGTATTATTTATTTATTTATTTAACTTATATGCCGCTCACTCTACTCAAAAGTCTCTGGGCAGCTTACAATAATTAAAATACAATAAAAATACAATAAAAAGATAAAACTATTAAAATACAATTAAAATAGATACTCTAAAAATTGCCATCAGGACCCACAGTTGATATTATGTTAATTAAAAGCCTTCTGGAACAGGAAGGTTTTGACCTGGCACCAAAATGTCATCAGTGTCGGTGCCAGACTAATCTCCCTCTGGAGGGTGTTCCATAGTCTGGGGGCAGCTGCTGAAAAGGCCCTTTGTCTACAAGCCATCCCTCTTACCTCCTTGAGGGATGGCTCTTTCAAAAGGGCCCCCCGGCTAGATCTAAACTGCCGGGTAGGCTCATATGGAAGGAGGTGGTCCTTCAGGTATCCAGGGCCCAAGCAGTTTAGGGCTTTATATGTCAAAACAAGTACTTTGAATTGGGTCCGGGCAGCAACTGGTAACAAATGTAATTTAATCAGAATTGGCTTGTTATGTCCCCTAGCGGCCCCACCACTCACCAGCCACGCAGCTCAATTCTGGACCAGTTGCAGTCGCCGGACCGTCTTGAAAAGCAGCCTCACGTAGTAGAGCGCATTACAATAATCTATATGAGATGTTACCAGTGCGTGTGTAACTGTAATGAGACTCCACTTGTCCAGGTAGGACCGTAGGTGGTACAATTTCCGCAGCTGAAGGAAGGCGCCCCTGGCCACATTATGGGACTGGTAGTCCAAAAAAGCCACTTTTCCCTTCCCTGGGCCTCAGTATGAATTCTCTCCCTGCATTTATGGTTCTTTCAGAACCACAGCACTTTAGTACTTATTCCTTCCATACTTAGGAAAATAAACTATTATTTCTTCCTTTGTCAAATATATGTATAAAACAAAATGTACAGATTAAAGTGAAATTTTTGCCTATTGCATGATTCTTTCAGTTCCCTGAAAGAAAACCTAGACATTAATTAAGGAACAAATAAGCCAGCTTTCAGGTCTGCTGAGAACTGGTTTTAGGAAGCAGTTAATGGCTGTCAGATGAGGTACTGAAGATGCCCAGAATTGTGAATCGGCCTGTATTTCTCTTAACCAATAGAAATGCCTGACTCTGTATTTTGTTCTAAGCAGTCTACTAATATGATCAGCAGTCCATCTTTTGATGTATAAGCAACTTCTCAATAAAAGTAATTGCAATTAGATATTTACAGTAAAATACACTTCTCCCTTCAACAACACTGGAGTCAGGGTGTCAGACCACTGTGCAGTTCAAAATTTGTGTATATCTCTTATGTCCCCAAAAATCTAACTACACAGTACAAACAGTTGATTCACACACTCTCTCCAACACACATTCCTCCCCCAACCCGTGTCGGCCTCCTGACATGCCTCAGCACGAGAGCCGCCATTCTAGGAGATGGGACCATCTGGGTCACTGCCACTGAACTGGAGGCCACAACACCTCAAACAACAGGGGCCTTGGTAAGTCTGAGACCCATCTTTCTAAGGCCACTTCCTGGAGATGCATAGCAGCACAACTTTGACTGACTGACTGACTGACTGACCGACCGACTGATTTGAGGGAAGAGCATGCATAACCAAAACTATGCCATTCAAACCTGTGCAATTCAAGGGAGAAGTGTAATTCTTAAAGTTTTTAGTTATATTTGATATTTGTATAGCCAAAGGAAAGTGATAACATTTAAACACAAAAAGACACATCTGCATTCACAGTACAAGCTAGTCCATTCCTATGTATATTTACTTGTGCAGTCTAATCCTACATGTTTACTTTATAAGTTTATTGACTTTTATTCCCAGAGTCAAACTCCTGATTGAATAGGACTGTCAGCTAAGGCCAAAATCAATCTTTACCAACTAGAATATATCCACTGAATACACCCAAGTTCCACTGAAGCAGAAGAACTTGCATAAGTGTTGATTTACTAATTGGCCAGTGGGTCTACTCTGCTTGAGACTCACCATTATATTTAAGCCAATAGCTACTATTGTGAGGATGCATATTCTATCAACTTTTATTTATCTTGGCTGAGATTTATTTTGCAATAAAATATCATGTATATTAAAGGTTAGTCTGCTAATTTGTCACTTGGGTTGAACTATGCATGCACAGAACAAATGTGCAGAAACAAGTATTTCAATTTATAATTACAGACATAGTCATGGTTACAATCCTGTGCACACCTATCTGGAAAGAAGACCCAGTGAATTCCTTGGGACTTAAATCCAAATAAACATGTACACGATTAGGGCTTTTAAGCATTTGAAGACCATATATCATGAGAAAACCTGAATGCTAATGAGGCAATCGCCCACGTCACTCATGCTATTCATATTCACAAGCTGATCTGCATGAACCTATGAGAGGACTGGAGAGGCGGAGTCAGTAGCTACATGAGGCTTGGCGGGAGAAGGAGGAGTCAGATAGGGCTGCTTAGTCAGAAAGAGAGGGAACAGATACTGAGAGAGATATAGCCAATTAGGAAAATAGGTAGAGAAGGTGGTAATGATATAGCAAGAGAAAAGAATGTGTACTGAGAGGACTGTTGATTATTTGCTTATGTATAATGTGTATCTGAGAAACTTCTGTTATTATTCAATCTGCTTCACTACAATAAATAAGTTCTGTTTCTGTTCACAAGACAAGTGTTCTGACATAAGTCATTAAAATTGTGGATTGAGGTAATCCACTGGTGGCAGCGAGAAGAAAATGCAATGTGAGCCTTTGTGAGGGAAAAAACAAGCAGGGGCCACAAGGGCGAACACCACAGCTATATCGATAACACTTCTAGTGATAATGATAGAATCAATCAGTTGTAATAGAAGTGTATTTTTCATTTGTGAAAGGTCACGAAAGTGATCAATTTTAAATTACCTAAAGGCTGTGTTAATTTTTTTCCATTTGGCAGCATGTCGTATTTAGCTTAGGTGGTTTGCTTATTGTTTGTTAATATGTTCTGAGTTTAAGAGACATCAGGTGACCTGTAACAAATGAATCCCACATGATTAGAAATGTAACAAATTAACTGCATTATATTTGCAATCATTTACCTCTTTAACTCTGAATTTATTGCTTTAATAAGTTCAAAATGTACTATGCACAGGGACCTTAACTTTTTACTGTCCAACATATTGCTTGCAGAATAAAGATCTTCTGTAATGTAAAAGTTAGACATGGAGAAACTGCTGTTCTCCCCCCCCCCCCC